TCCAGTCCTTCCCATGTGCTTTGAGCAGAAAAAGAAATTTGTGTGGCAGTAGGTAACCTGTGCAAAGACTCCCATTTCTCTTTAACAGGGTCTTCAACATAGGCTGGGAGAGGAACAAGAAGGAAGTTGTTAATATCAAATACTCAGGGAAGGTCTTGGTATAGAGAACTTAGTCATCAGGACCCAGCATCAGCCCCTTTGCACCATTAGTTCTGTACCATTGGTCCTTTGTGTCTCTTACAGAGACACTTAGATAACTGTTGTCACAAAAGAGCACCACCTGTCAGTAGCTGTGTGTTGACTCTACAAGTTGCTGCTTGCTCATCTAAGCCTGTAAAACCGTGACCTCAAGACTGGTCTATTAGTCTGAGCAAATGATTGTTATGAACAGCACCTCACCTGTAGTACTTTGCTTCACTCTGTCACAGTAATTTCTCTAGAGCACAATCCTTCTTTATCTGATCCTTATTGCTTCTGTCCACTTGGGACCAGATCTACTTGCTCCAGCCACAGCTGTTCCTGTTTAGACCTCAGCATGAGACAATTGAAAGCAGAGCCCTTTTGAGCTAGATCAGTGGTTCCCAACATTGGGTAACCCAGGTGTTCTTGGACTGCAACTCTCAGAAACCTGGCCAGCACAGCTGGTGGTGCTTCTGGGAATTGCAGTCCAAGAACACCTGGATTACCCAACACTGGGAACCATAAAGCTAGACAGTTGATTTACTGTACAAAGTAATTGTGACCATGTTAGGAGATAACTGTGCTCACAGGATTTAGTTATTATTTCTTTCAAATCACCATCCATTTTAGAGCAGGTCAGCTTTGAAGTTTAAGAGAAATGCAGAAGTATCCAGGCTCCCCATTTCAAGTTGGATTCCTGCTGTTGCCTCCTGTAGTATTTCATGAGTGCTATGCTTATTTCCAGCTTTTACGGCTTCCCTTTTCCCCAACCCAGGCCTGAATCAGCAATAACAAGTATTGGCTCCTTCTGCATTTATTATAGTTTAAAAGTTACAGAATTAATGTTTTAGCTTTCAGTCAGCATAGGAACAAACCTTAGTTCATTGTAAGGAAGCAATCAAAGGTGATGGAAGTTCAAAACAGGGTATATGTAAAGTTTTAAAAAGAACATTTCAGCTTCAGAATAATGCCTGTTTTTGCTTGGATGCTGGATTCTTCCCCCCCATTAGTAATGTAAAATTCGCAGGAGCCATTAGCTTACGTAGATGTTCCTCTGAATTCAGTCATTCTACAGTCCCTGTGGTTATTTTGACTATGTAATATCCTGCTTCTTTGTACTTTAAAGATTTGAAGTGGGGGAGGAATGAACAGAAAGACTGCTTATAACTGAGATCCAGCTTCCTTCAGATTAAACCACAAAATTGTTTAAAAGGGCATGGTAAACAATGCCATGCTCAGATGAAGTGACAGTGGATGTTACAGAAAGCAGCCGCATGTAGCTGGCCGCAACAAGAAATGGCTTAATTTATGTGATTAGCTTTTTGAGTAGTAGCTTGAGATATGTAATTAAATCCACCCAGAGACCTTTGGGTAGTGTGGGCGGCATATAAGTTAAATAAATATATAAGTTAAAGAAATAAAAATGCTTTGAGACAATTTGATTTCACATGAAAAGATACTAGTATCTACAGTATTTGGGGGATAAAAGCCAAGGAAAATCTACATGAGGACTGCTGTTTGTGATGATCAAGAGATGTCCAGAGGAAGTCATACATCCATTGCAGGACCGAAGCCATAGATTAGGAAGCTCAAGCAGATATTTTCAAAGTTCTTTTGATGAGAGCAATAGTGGTGAGAAATGAAATACTGTATACTGTATACATGGAGAGGTTATAAAACTAGAGAGTAAAAAATGCCACTCAGTTGACTGCTGTTTCAATCACAGTGGATCTCAACTTTGCAAAATACTTTCTTAGCCCCAAATTTACACATATGAAACTCATTAGCTGAAATCCTGTTGCACAGACAGCTTCATGTGTACAGTGGTGATAACAGTAGTAACAGCAACAATAAATCACTGCTGATTAAAGACTTTCTTTGATAATTTTAGAATGCATGCAACTTCATCACATTGTATACAAGTCACATGCACCCCAAACTTGCTTTTAATCACACTGGGGAGAAGTGGGAGGAGCATTTTTCACCCTGCTCTTTCTCTCAATATTTTCCATGCCTGGGGCCATGTCACATCTTTCAGGTTTTTAACTTGCAGGCTCAATCATAAAATTTATCTAATTAAGTTGGGGACACATAGCAGATTCTACTTATTTCAAAGCTTTGGCCTTCTCAAGTTTAATCAGGAGAAAGGAAAGCATTGGGAATCCTCTGTCACAGAAGCTCCATTCATCCCCAACCCAATCTCACTTCTTTTACTGCTCTGGATTCTCCAAGGGGGAGGTACAGTACTCGTCTTCCACAGTGCAAGGAACTCCACTCCATAGCCTGATCTGCTCACTGATTGGCCAGAAGTGCTTGAGCAGAGCTGCAGTCCAGGTTTTGGAGGCGAGACTGGGGTTAGTTTCTGAGAGAGGCAAAGAGTGCCAAGGAGAGAAACCAGGCATTGCACAGGAACAGGAAACACAGAGCCATTGAAGCAGGCTAGCGTACTCTGTTGCCTGCTTGGAGTTTCTTGAGATATGTCACTTTAAAAAAAAGATGATTCCCATACCTGTTTTGCAAACAAAGCTTAATGGAAGGAAACAGGATGGAGCTGTTTCTGTGTACAGGCAGCGCCTTCCACGTTGATTCTGATTCCAGATCTGAAGACCATTCAGGACCAAGTATCTTGGGTGGGATGCTCTGGGAAATAGCCTGTGCCACAGGTCAGGCAGGACCTCCGTCCCTAGAAGTGCCTGGCTCTACTGAGAAGCAGCTGTCACTCTGGAAAGCTATATGGAACAGCATCAGCTCTCCAGAGCAAACATGCAACTCTTTGCCTATCTGCCATCTGAGGGACTCATCTCATTCTAATAGTAGAATGGGCCGGCTCGGTTAATGATATACATGCAGGCTTGACCAGAATTAGATCCTGCAATGCAGGTGGCAGAAAAGTTCCTTTTTTCATTAGCTTGTTTTTCAGAGTTAGCTTCATAGAAAACGTCCCTTCAAAGACTTTGTTCCTTTGGCTGTATTTGTTGTGGGATAGTCCTTAAGCCCCACCCAGCCCACTTTGTGTTCTGCTTCAGGAAAGTAAGAAAGTGGGGATAAATGTCAACCTGCCACAGGCATCCCTTCACTTCCTTTCTGCTGTACACTCCAAAGAGATTTTCTACTTAGTCTTGTAGTAAATAAATAATATCTCGTAATACTGTATAGTCTGCTCTATTTGCATGTGGATAACTCCCATAGGCTCAGTAGAGCCTGTTTCCTTGTGCATGCTCAGGCAGTGATAGAAACCTTCCTAGATGCCACTCAACCTTCCCTCTTACTGTTATTTGACCCACAATAGACAGGATTGTGTTCTTTACTGCTTATGGACTTGCAGGCAAAGGTTACATGCAAGCATTAAAATAATGTAATGTCCTTTAAGCTAATTTGCATAATATGTTTTCCAGCATACCTAGCTTTTTAAAAAGCAAATTGTCTAATTAAGCTTCTCTTCAGTGAGATTTCATAGATCACTTTTAAGTTAAAGTATGTTTCTAGATGAGCCAATTAACTTGAAAATCCAAGGTAAAGTTCATTTAACTGCATTGTAGGAAGTGTTCTGAAAATGGAGACGTGTTTATTTATCCTATTTAAAATTTATGAACTTTTTCCTGCCTTTAAGATTTTTGAAAGCTAATGGCATTTGTACCAAGATTCCAGTTATAACTTGTTTTGAAAGAACAGATAACATTAAGTCTTTTGTTAAACTGGGCAGAGATCATTAGATAACATTAAGAAGAAAGTAATCTTTAATACTTTGCTCATATCTTGAGAAAAAGCATAATTAAAAGTTTGGCTCATTTATGCATAGTACAAAGTAAAATCCACCAAAAACATATAGGTCTGTACAAATAATTTTATATTAAAGCAGATTGAGCTCATACTTGTTGTGCAGCACATTCTAAATAACATCTGTCATTCCTATCTGTATTTCATGAAGACTAGGAAAAATGTCAGTGTCACTGAAATGTGTTAACAGATACCATTTAATATGACAGTTGCTCTTTTGTGAGGAGAGATTTTAAACTTTAGCACATTTGTGGATTTGGGGGAAAATTAACCATATATCATCATGCTTTAACAGAATATAGCGCTAGTCTTACAACTTTAAAAAATAGCTCTCACTGGTTTTTGGTACTGCATTGAACCTGCCATGTCATTTGTGTTAGTAGCACTCATGATTTGGGCTCTATTGTTGCTGTTTCATAGAAAGTCTTAAAAGATACTCTTATTTTTTGGTGCCTAACTTCAGATATGTTGATAAAATTTCCTGGAATTTACTGGGTTTTTGGTGGTTTCCTCCAGGACCACATCACCCTCCTTATCTAAAAAATATTGATCTAATCTCTACAATGCCAGGCAAATCATAGAGCTAGACAGTTCATTTGTTATATTGTTAGTATGATCTTGTCAAATGCAATGTGGTAGTTTGCTTTTTGGCTGCTCAGACATAGGCATTGTTTTGAGAACATGAAGTATATGTGTAGAATTCTATCACAATTGCCATTGGGAACCTTTTCATAGTGTCCATTAATGTGCTTGCTTTATCACAACCAGACATTTAAAAATCTCAGTTTATGAGTGCATTATAAGGAAAATTCTCATTGGGTGGAGCTTAGGGACATGTTCTGAGGAGATGACTGGGGACATACTGGCTGGAACACTTCCAGCAGTTTTCTGCTAGAGTTTGTAGCAAATAAAATAGCCTATGTCAAAGTGTTACGATTGCATCCATTTATTTGTTCGACACTAATTAAAGATACATATTTCATGTTTTATGTACTCATGGTGCCATTTATGGAAAATAATATTTGCATTAAAATACTTCTTAGGAAAGCACGGGAAGAAAAAAAGAAAGTTGTCCTAGCTGGATGTGTTCCACAAGCCCAGCCACGGCAAGACTACATGCAAGGCCTGAGCATTATTGGGGTGAGGCTAATAATCTATTACATTCTTTGACTTTATTCTAAAACTTTTGCTCTGCTGTTTGGTAAAAATCTGGAATTTATCTTTTCTATACCATGGTTGGGCAATTCCTTTATTGGATCACCGATGACTATGTACTTAGTTTTGATGTTAGTAAGTGTCATGACTCCACGGGGCCACTGATTGTTTCACCAAAGAGCTCATGCTACGTGCCCCTCAGCTGCCACCAGTTGATTTCATCGACAATACTTATTACTAATAATCGAGGTCCAGGCCATATGTCATCTTAAAAAAACAAATATAAATTGTTTATTGAGACAGGTATTGACAGAACAAGCAATGTTGTTAACTCTTAAACAAACATTCTCCTTTATCCACTCTCAACCACCACTCTCCTGCCCAAAGTCGTAAACTCACCCTCAATCTCTTCAGTTCCCTAACTAATGCTCTAACTCTCCGTCTCAAAACCCTATCTCTCTATCTAACTCAACCTCCTCCTGCTGAGTCTCTTATTTCTTGTGACTCCATCCCTCCAGCACTCCTATTGGTCTTTGCAGATAGCATATGAATATGCATGACCTGGGCGGATGCCACAGTAAGATCTTGTGGAGAACATATTTTGATAGTATTTTGCAGCCTTTTGAGATTGAAAAAGTCCTTGAACATGTCCCATAGTGGAAGAAGAAGAAAGGGCAATGGGTCTTCAGAAATTACCACACTTCCAAAATTTATATTGAGAAGTAACGTGTGTCTTTGTAAGGCAGAAACAACCCTGCTTATAGCTTTCCTGTTGCAGTCCAGTCATAGTTGTGCTTCTAACATCTATACACATCACTAATGAAGGTTCGCCATTTTTGTTCATAGTGAGATCTACAACCACCATTCCCAGTGTGAGTATCACAGGAAACTAATTTAACAAGCCAGAACATCAGTTCTGAATTGATGGATGAAAAACGAGGGAAAGTAGAGTGAAAGCAGAGATGTCCTGAACATTGTCACTTGTTCAGAGTCCAGCAAACAATAACTGGTTGTAGTTGGAATTCTTATGTTTGAACCGGGCTGGTGGCTGACAATCCTTTCTCCTACCACTCAGTCTGACAGACGTTTTCCTGCTCCGTCAGTTCACAGAAGTCAGGGGGCTTCCAGTAAGCTGAAAACCTTAAATTTTCTCAGTAGTGATTCACACGTCTTCCCTTACAACCTCACATTCTTTCATGCCCCTCTAGTTCTTCTTTCCTCACTTCACTGCATAAAGATTAGAAGCACTAAATAAATACTGAATTATTTCTGACAACCTGAAGAAAAATAGGGATAGAGCTTCATTTTATTTCAGGGGTCAGGGAACATTTTTACCTCCCCCCCCAATTTATATACGCCGACATTACCCCCTTGATTTGAAAGGAAGGAACTCATACATTATTTGAATTTAAAATATTATTGAATCTACACAGGCTGTGTACCGAACTAGCAGGATGCGCCAAATTTGATAAAGATGTGTACTATTTTTGCTGGAACACATTGCACTCCAGCCATGGTGTGGTATAGGGCGTAGTAAGGTGTCCAATGTGCCTAGCAAGTTGCATTAAATTTTTGCTAGCTCGCAGAGGATTTAATCATTATCAGTGGTTGCCAGAGTGGTGCTAGCAATGACATGCTTGCTAGAGAGCCAACACAGAATTGGAGGGGGTGTCTTTCCCTACCACTTTAATCATTCTCTGTGTGGTGTGCAAAAAGGAACAAACCAGGCTAAAGGTCATGTCACCCACCCTGGTGCCACAGCCCAATATCAAAGGACCAGTGTTGTTTTTTTAATCACCATCAATGGAAAAGTCAGCAGTGGCCAGAGGATTGGAAAAGATTAGTCTACATCCCAATCCCAAAGAAGGGAAGCCAAAGAATGCTCCAACTACCGTACAATTGCACTCATTTCACACGCTAGCAAGGTTATGCTCAAAAGCCTCCACGATAGGCTTCAACAGTATGTGGACCAAGAACTCCCAGAAGTACAAGCTGGATTTCGAAGGGGCAGAAGAACTAGAGACCAAATTGCTAACATGCACTGGATTAGGGAGAAAGCCAGAGAGTTCCAGAAAAACATCTACTTCTGCTTCATTGACTACACAAAAGCATGGCAGAAAGTGAGGAGGACTTAAAGAACCTCTTAATGAGGGTGAAAGAGGAGAGCACAAAAAATGGTCTGAAGCTCAACATCAAAAAAAGGAAGAGCATGGCCACTGGTCCCATCACCTCCTAGCAAATAGAAGGGGTAGATATGGAGGCAGTGACAGATTTTACTTTCTTGGGCTCCATGGTCATTGCAGAGGGTGACAGCAGCCACAAAATTCAAAGACACCTGCTTCTTGGAAGGAAAGCAATGATAAACCTAGACAGCACCTTAAAAAGACACCCTCCCCCCCGCGCACCTTAATTCAAGCTTTCTCTTTTGCTTGCGTATTATTTTTCATAGTTTTGAGTCAGTCTCTCTCACTCACTCTCTCTCACACACATACACATCCATTCACCCACCCTCCCTCCCTTTTCTCCATACATTTAAATAAGGTGGATGAAGCCCTTGGTCTCTGGCACCTTCCTTCCCTCCTTCCCTCGTTAACTTGATCCTTTCCCTCCTCCTACTTGCTTGAAGTCATTTCCGGAGTAAGCAGTCATTCAGAAGCACCCCCCCCATGGATTGATTGCCTGGGGCTGTAACCAATCAAGCAAGCTTATCTCCAATCTCTGAAAGAACAGAGGATTTACAAGTGCCCTGCTGCAACCAAGGAAGTAACAGGGAGAGGTGGCTTACAATTTGAGGTTTGGCTGCAGAGGGTGGGGTTGGGTGGGAGGGACGGGGGAGCACTCTGCTCATTACCCCCAGGATTTTCACTTTTACCCCATTTGGAGTAATCTACTCCTGTTCCCCAACCACTGTTTTATATAATTAAATGAAGTTAGTTCACATCAGGGAAACTGCTTGGGAGAGTGGAACTGTGATCCCCTTTCATCCCCTCTGAACCACTTGTCTGCAATGTTTCACTCACGATAGGAGATGAAAGGTTTTTCAGATGCTTTTATTAGCCTCAAAGGTAATTTCTCAACAATAACTTCTAGTGGTTCAATGTCAACATTTAGCTTAAATAATTAAATGAAGTTAGTTCACATCAGGGAAACTGCTTGGGAGAGTGGAACTGTGATCCCCTTTCATCCCCTCTGAACCACTTGTCTGCAATGTTTCACTCACGATAGGAGATGAAAGGTTTTTCAGATGCTTTTATTAGCCTCAAAGGTAATTTCTCAACAATAACTTCTAGTGGTTCAATGTCAACATTTAGCAACTTCAGCTTAACATTGGCGTCTCCTTGTACAATTCACTCCCTCATATCTACTTCCCAATGTAGCTCCCAGCTGCATCTTCCCTGGGTCAACAAAGTAGAGGATGGTGTTTCACAGAACAAAGGGTGTTGGAACAAGGATGCCTGCCCACTTCCTGCTCTGGTCCATGGCCCCCTTTATGTTTCCTTCCCTCCTCTCCCCCTTGGAATGAAGACTTGAACTGCCACTGCGATTTTGTGTGAGCTGTCCTTGCACTGAACTTTGGAACCATCTCTTCTTCACTTTCAATAGTTTCTTCTTTAAATAGGGGTTTTAAAATCAATAGGAAAGCAGAGGTTAACATTGCTTTTCACTAATCTTTACTCTGCATAAGCATTAAATGGATGGCATGGATAATGTACATGACCCGCTCAATCTATTGCACCATTAAGCAATGTAAAGTTCTGTGCCGAAGGAGATAAATTTGAATTTTAATTTTTTTAAAATTGCTGCTATTGGTTTATTATGAGGTTTTCATTTATCATTTTTACTTGTATTTTCTTTCCAACCAGTTTGATGTTATATTCTATAGACTATAAACTGAATTACCAACTTACTAATATTATCTGATTGTTTTTTGTTGCTTGTACCTTCTTATGTCTTTAGCTCATGAAGGAGTTGATTGTTTGAAATTATTAGTTGAATGTAAATTAGGGGATTTTCATGGAGCCCTAGCCAGTTTAGTCAATGGTGAGGAATGCTTAAGAGTTGCAGTTGAAGAATATCAGAGGGCTGTACTTTGCCTGTACTAGTCATTAAGTGTACTGTGGTGCCTGGCAAGACGAGGTTAATGCGTTCCGCAAAAATCGCTGTCAAGCGATTTCATCGTTAAGCGAAACGCGGTTTTCCATTGAAATGCATTGAAACCCTGATAATCCGTTCCAATGGGAACGGATTGCCATTGTAAAGTGAAAATCGCTATAGGAAACATTGTTAAGCAAAACACGTTTCCCAAGCGAACACAGCCATCTAACGAAACAGCGACCATTCAAACGCCCATTTAGCAACGCGAACCCGAACTGTCAAAACCATCGTAAAGCAAAACTCAGGGACCCGAAAATTAACCGTCTTGCGAGGCAAGGTCCCCACCATCGTAGAGCGAAAATCGGCCATAGGAAACATTGTTAAACAGAGCGCGAGATCGCTCCGGAAAACTAATCGTTAAGCGAATTCGTCGTTAAATGAAGCAATTGTCTAGCAAGGCACCACTGTACCTCCTATAGCACTGGACTTTCTGTCTTTTTCGTAACTTTCATCTGTTGCAAGCATAAATGCAGTGTGTGTGTGTGTGTGTGTGTGTGTGTGTGTGTGTGTGTGTGCGTATGTATGTATGTATGTATGTATGTATGTATGTATGTATGTGTGAACAAACAAATCTTTTATTTCCTCTTTATAGGAGTTAAATATATGGAAGACAAAACCATTTTAAAATTATCAAAATATTAATAGATGCATTTATTAATCTACTACTTCACAGGTTCAGCAGATAGATCGTGTTGTGGAAGTTGTTGAAGAAACTATTAAAGGTAAGGTCCTCAGATAAAATGATGCATGTCTTCATTTTCCCCAATACTCATCATTATTACTATTTTGATCACGTAGATCCCTAAGGAATCCTACTAGTGAAATATGGCATGTCTGTATTATAAATAAAGACTGAGATGTAAACATTTGACAGTTGCTGCATACATTACTAAAATCTGCAGAAAGTGTTGCCATCTTAATAATAATGAAATATTTGATCTTCAGTAATTTATTTTTCCTTCATTAACTTAGATTTCAAGGTTGCTTCTTTTTTACTTGTTCATTCTAACAGATGAACAAATTTTCATTTGTTTTTGTTTTTGTCTTGCTCGTGGCTGTCTTGCAGTTATTCAGTCTGCAGAGTTGTTATGTTCAGTCTAAGTTGCTGCATTTTTAAAGTAAACAGGTCAGGCAGACCATGTGATGTTATTGTCAGATGCTTGTAACCATTAGGATTTTGGAGCACATCAGGAGGTTGTTTAAACTTTCTAATGTGTAGAACTTGTATACTCATAACTCATCTGGATAGCTCAGTGGTTTAGGTATCTGGCTGCGGAGCCAGAGGTTGGGAGTTTGATTCCCAATTATGCTTCCTTGACAGGGGCTGGACTCAGTGACCCATAGGGTCCCTACCAGCTGTGCAGTTCTAAGATTATTATTATTATCTAACTTAGTAGAGAAGCCAGATATATTAGGTTGATTAAGTTATAAGTACTGTACTTCCAAAAGCTGTTTATTAAAAATTGCTGGCTAATTTATCTTTACTAACTTTAATATTCATTAATGTATTCTCAGAACATTCTTACTCAGTTTGACTACTTAGTGACTGTGGATTTTCTTTAACTACAATAACAATAGCAAACTATTGTGTGATGTTGACCATCTGTGCACTCTTCTCTTGATAAGGGGGAAAGTTTCACTTGTATGCTAGGCCTATGAGTGATTAGTCAGGGTGACTTAATTCTCATGTTCTTATTATGTGCCTTCAAGTCATAACCAACTAATAGTGACCCTAACAGGGCTTTCAAGGTAAATAAGGTGTTTAAAGACTGGTTTTACCAGTACCACACTCCCAGTGAGTTTCAATGGCATTATGTATAGAGATTTGAACTCAGGCCTCCTTAGTCCTAGTCCATTACTCTGTCCACTACAACACACTGGGTATCTTAATTTTGAAGCAGCACATTGCATTTTGTTTGGTATGGGAGTCACAGGGTATGTGGCTGCACTAAGGACATTAATTAAAATATGGAATTTATAAAATGAATATTTGAGGTTACTGAGAAAGAGTTGTGAAAGCAGTTATGAGATAATATAATGTGAATTTGAATTTTATTTGTTTGCTGCTATTCTCTCACCTCTGGGACCCAAGGTAGCTTACAGTATGGTTAGGAAAAACAGTATTACTAAAACATAGAGTAAATATAACTATGAAAACATGATTAAACTCATCATCTTAGTAAAACAAATTAAAATTTTACTCTTAAAAAATCTCAATACAAAAGGGAGGTCAATCTTTTCACGAAGGATAGAAGAAGCTCAGCACTGGGCTTCAGTCTGAAATTGGGGTGTGCTGAGTTTCTTCTATCTTTCATGTAAAGACTGACCTGCCTTTTGTATTGAGATTGCAATGCACTTTTCCCTTCAACAACATTGAGGCTAAGGGCACTAGTCCTTCATGTAGTTCAAAATCCGTATATAAGTCATATCCCCTTAAAAATGTAACTAAAAAGCATAAACGATTGATTAACACAAACATCATGGCAGCTAAAGGACAGAAAAAGCCTCATATTGCAAGGAGAAAACCTAGGCATGATCTCTCCTCCTCCCCCTTTTGTGACCTCCCCCAAACTGCATCATCCTCCCAGCATGCCCCAGAACCCTTCCTGTTCACCATGTTGAACAGCTGTGCCAGGACAGAGAGGTCAGCCAGGCCATTGGATTGCTAACAACATGAGCCTTGGTAAATCCAAGTCCCACCTTTTTCAGGCTACTTCCTGGAGACAAAGAGCAGCACTGTATTTATTGAATATTTATTTATTTATTGAAGAACTTCTGCGTATAACCAAAACCATGCTGCTCAAACCCGTACAATTCAAGAGAGAAATGTAATTGGGTGGATCAGAGTTACCTTGGAACCTGTATCGACTATGGTTGTTAATTCATTGCCTTGTTCAAAGGGCTTCTTGACTGAAAAGGTCTTAGCCTGCTAGTGAAAAGACATAAAGAAAGGAGCAATCCTGCCATCCCTTGGCAGGGAGTTCAAAAGCTTGGAAGCAACTACAGAGGAGGTTCTTCTTCGTGGCCTCTGTGAATCACACTATGGGTAATCCGCTCATGTGCGGAGCCTCATTGGAATATTCTAGAGCTTCTGCGGTAGCAAAGGAAAATACATTAGCATGGACCCCTCCCCCCGGTATATGTACCTTGGCGCCAAGGCTCTCCCTTCAGTTTCTTTCAACCGACGTTTTGAGAGCCTCCATTGTTGCTTCTGTGAGAAATCTGAAAACGTGAATCACACTATGGGTAATCCGCTCATGTGCGGAGCCTCATTGGAATATTCTAGAGCTTCTGCGGTAGCAAAGGAAAATACATTAGCATGGACCCCTCCCCCCGGTATATGTACCTTGGCGCCAAGGCTCTCCCTTCAGTTTCTTTCAACCGACGTTTTGAGAGCCTCCATTGTTGCTTCTGTGAGAAATCTGAAAACGAAAGTAGGAAAGTTATTGAATTTTATTTATTATTATTATCCTTCTTATTTTCAAAACAAGATACACTCCGGCCTTAGGGCCAAAGCATTTTCCCCCCCCCTTCCGTTGTTTTCTTTTCAAAACCGGTTCTTGGTTCATGGCCTTTTCAGACCCATTTAAAAGCTGTGTAACCTGCAATAACGAGATCGTGCTCTCTGACAGCCTCCCTAAATGCCTTTTTTGCCTTGATGAGGCCATCAAACTTCCTCGTCCCTTCACTGCAAAAACTTTAAACATGGAGTTCTCCACAGTCACCTCTCTAGACTCTGGGAGCAATCCCTAAAGCCATGGATGAAGCTGTCAAAGTGTTCCCCCCCACTTTCCGTTGTTTTCTTTTCAAAACCGGTTCTCGGTTCATGGCCTTTTCAAGCCCATTTAAAAGCTGCATAGCCTGCGATAACGAGATTCTGCTCTCTGACAGCCTCCTTAAATGCTTTTTTTGCCTTGGCGAGGCCATCAAACTTCCTCGTCCCCCTGCAAAAACTTTATATGTGGAGTTCTCTGCAACCTCCTCTCTAGACTCAAGCTTCGGCTCTGAGAGCAGTCCCTAAAGCCATGGATGAAGCTGTTTCCAAATCGACAAAACAATGCCCTCCAGCTATTCCATCTTGTTCCAATCAATAACTTACTCTGCCCTCAATATTGACGGTCATGCAAGTGCACAAAGCCGAACATTTGACGTCAAAACCCTCATCATCGAAAACAGCCTCTAAGAGAAAACTGTCCATGGATGTTTCCTTGACACCAGAACTGTCACCTCCGAAGAAGGCTAAGTCTTTCAAATCAAAGCCTTCCAAAACCATTTCCTCGACTCCACAACCTCCGGAGTCTAGAAACCTCATCTACGCCTGTTCTCTTTCAGATGAGGAGGCACTTCCACCTCATCAACCTCACCATGGCAGTCTCCTGATTAGGAACAGTGTGTTGATGACTCACAGCTTCCTCTGATAGCCTGCGACAATCCTCGGACTCTCCGAGTGAGTCTTCACAAATTGCCTCATCAGACATCCATGGCGCTAAACACAACCAGAAACGGTGCCTTACTCTGCCCCTGTAGGCCTACCACCTTGGCCTCCAGCACATAAGCAAAGACATCAAGGCTATATGAGCATCCGCTTGCCTTCTCAGAGGGAAAAAGATCACACTCAGCACCATCATCAGGATGCCATTTGCCCCAATCAGTGCCTAACAGAGAAACCTGCCAAACACTATTGGCCAGTCACTCTTCCTGGTCTGGCGGCACTGCCCCTGCAGGATTTATTTATTTATTTATTTATTTAATTTATATCCCGCCTATCTGAATCACATAGGACCACTCCCTCTGCTAGGGGGCCTTTGGTGTCAAAGTGATCTTATTACCATGATTGCCCAGGACTGCCTGGCACCTCTTAACTGCTGGCACCTAAGAGCCCCAACCAAGCCGATCAATACTCCTCGGCTCCGGGCACATTGCAGCACCGGCAAGTTACTATTTTCCTCTCCATTAGGAGGACCGCGAGCTCTCATCCCGCTCAGCATCACCGGCATCTGTCTATTCCACCATAATACAGCGTGGTACATCAACGCCTTTACCACCTCGACAGCTCTCTTGACACCGACAGCAATCTCCATTTCGACACACCTCGATACCGACCCTTTCGATATTGACAATCTTTGATATCGAACACTGTCCATGGACTCAACTTCCATGTCGGCAGCAGTCGAAGACCCTCGCTATTGACCCCTGTCCATGGATTCACCCTTGACGTTTATACAGATCAACGACCCTCGATATCGAACACTGTCCACCAACGCCCCTTCGACATCAACAGCTTGGCGTTGACACCAATATTTTGAGGACCAGTCGATTGACTCGAAACATGATGTTGACCTATCTGATCATGGTTCCAGGCCTCAAATACCATGAGGACATTTAACATTGCTGAATTCTGACCTGGCAGACACAGACCTTCCATCACCAGTAGAGGATTTCAAACCTATGCTCAACTAATGATTCATATGGCCAAATACCTCGACCTACAAATCCATAGACACACTACTGGAGCAGCAGATCATCTTTATGATCCCATCTCTAACGATGCTATCAAACTGGTCCATATCTCCATGCTCCCTTCTCTCCTGAGCACAGCTAGACATTCTTCGACCAAACCAGCATCATCTTATTCGGTGTCAAAACGCATAGACAACCTTTATTGAGTACATGATCCGGGCACAGCCTTTTACAGAAACAACCAGCTTCCAATTCCATATTC